TCCATCCTCAACAAACAACAGAGAAGCTCAGGTCTCTGAACTTTTAAGTGTAACTTCTGATATTTAGCCTAATTTTTTAACTTTGCTCGAATTGCCGATTCCTTCCACCAGAACCTGGTTCTCAGCATAAAAATAATAAAAAGGTAGGCACTTTATGAGAGCTCTACAGGCACCACTATCATATATACTGGCCCCATGTGCTTCCAAGGAGGGATTTACAGGGAACCGAGGGATTCCCATCTCCTCCTCCTGCCTCTTTTGGGGCCGATCCCATGCTCCTCAGACACACAGCTCTGCCCTAAAGCCCCTGCGCAGCGTTGGGGCTCCTCAGGCAGCCACCAGGCAGGGCCAGCAGCCAGGACCAGAGGCACAGCCACAAACCAGCCTCTCTGGGAGCATCCTGGTGTCCTGAGCCAACCTCTCCTGCACTGCAGGTGCTCTTTTCCCAGTGCGAACGGGTCTCTCAAAAAATAACAGAAAGCACCCATTGCGTACCTGTTATATTTAGCTAGAGAGAATCCGTCTGCATTATTCCTGGTCTCACTAAAGACCTGGCTCCTTGTAAATACACGTCCACACGTTCTCCTTCCACGCTGAGCTTCAGGGGTCTGTTTAAGCAATAATTGGTATGCGTCGTCGCAAGGAAATAGCGGCTGGTTGTTTGACAACATTGCCCCAGCTCACCCACACGGCAGCGGCTGTCCTCATGTGAAAAACCACGGCACGTGGGTTCACACCAGTGCCTTAAAAAAAACCCGCAGCCAACACGCCCCATGGTGTGAAGTGGTGTGACGAGGAAGGCAGAAGCACCCTGCACGGGCAGCAACCCCTCGGTGCCTCCGTGGAGCTGGGGGACCAGGGGAGGTGACAGCATCATGGGGCTGTCTGGAAGGGCTGGAATCAAAAAAAAAAACAACAAAACCCCTAAAAATTGCTGAAGTTGGCAACCCTGTGCTCCTAACAGGGCCCAGGAAAGCTGATGCTAACAAAGCAGAGCCCTGCCCACAGCTGCTGGAGCTCCGTGCCCCCATCCATCACCCGCACGGCTCCACCAGCACCACTTACACCCCGACCAACAGCATCCCCTACAGAACAAAATGATGCTTTTTTTTTTTTTTAATAATCCCAGTTAGAAGTTACAAATAATATAACCCAAGCATTAAGTAATCACTACAGAGGAAAAAAAAAATAAATCAATTTTTCCAGCAGGTCCACATGAGCCTTCCCAAACACCACCGGTGTTTTCCCCTCGCCAGCACCTCTGAAAAATCTTAATCTTTCCTTTTGCAACCTCACCACGCTTCCCAAACGTGACGTCCCGCCACGATTACCTTCTCAGAGAGGAGAAACCAAAAATAATTAACAACCAGGCGTTTAATCCTGCGGGAACAGCTCCTGGCTCTCAAGTCGTCAGCGCGCAGGGTGCAAGCAAGGGGCGTGCGCTCGCGAGGCAGCGCCGGTGGCTGTAGAGCTGAGTCAGTAACAACAAATTCTGTGCTCTAGCACCAAAAACTTCTGCTGACGTCACAGCAAACGTTATCTGGGGCCTTCCCAGCACCGTCTGTAGGATGCCGAAGGTCACGGCCCCCTCACCGAGATGGGGCTGGGCCCGAGCAGCAAAGAGGCGCGACAGAAAGCGGCGGCTCAGCAGCCCTGCCCTCCGCAGGGCAAAGCGCGGTCACGCCGTTTTTCATCCTTTCACCTAAAACTTATCTTTATTTCATTTCCTCTGGCAAAGGAGAAGGAACAAAAACCAGCGACGGGAACAAGGGAGGAGGGCCGGGAGCAGGCCCGTGGGCACGGAGGTGACAAAGTGCATGTGGGAACCGACCCCCACGGCGCCCCTCATCCAGCTCCCGGCTGGAAGAGGAGCCAAATGTGAGCTGCCAAAACCTCTCCGGCCAAGCCCCCGCGCTCCCTGTGAGTGGCAGCAGGGGGGCACCGTGCCCCCGACCACCACTGCTGCCCCCCATCGCTGTGCCCCCCAGATGATGGCAATTCAGGGACCACCACGGCCCCCGCCACGTCTCCTTGGCCTGCCAGAAACCTGGGAGCTACGAGCACAGCCCTGAGGGGTCACCCAGTGCCCCTCGGCCACGCGTGTGATTTCAGCACCCTGAGGAGCCACAAACAGGCCCAGAACATGGGGGCGAGGGCCCTGTGCACCGAAAACCCCAAATTTCCCAGGGAAGGTGCAGTCTCTCTCCGGCTGAGGAGCTCCTCGCTGGCAGCTCCGCTCCGCACTTCTCTGACTCACTGCAACCCGAACGCGGAGCAGAGGAAGGAGTACTGGCTAGATCTCATGTGAAGAGTAAATGTGACACCTATCAGATTTTACATGACAGCGTGCAGCAGATTTTAACAAAACACTTGCAAATTGTCGGTAGCGTTGTGTTTCGAGGAGCTTTCCCACTTCTCCTGCTTAAACACGAAGCCCCTTTCCGCTCTCACAGCTGGCAAACAGCGCCCAGAAAACAATCCTGCATTTCCCGTGGCAGCGAACCTCACCTCTTCCAAAACTCCGGGCAAACCCAGAGGCCACTTTCTGTTTTCGCTGCAGCACACCCTCCGCGGCCACGAGCCAGCTGAGCTCAAGGAGTTCAGTCTGGAGCGCAGCCAGCCCGGCCGATAAATGGCCGCGACCGGACAAAGGTTTGGGCGCGCTGCTCCCAGCCTGTCCCTGGGACACCGCACTCAGAGCCCGATGTTTTTCCTGATAGGAAGATAATTAACAGGGGAACCCGGCGACACGGCTCCGTGTTGAGGTGGCAGCGTTAAAGACGTCAGCCTGTGCTCTGCTTTTCACCACGGGGAAACTCCTTCAAATAGTCTCCTTTTAGGAAAAGCGCAAAAAGGTGCAGCTTCGCCCCAAAACACGAGGTTAGGAGTGGAAAGGGCTGTTGGGAAGCGGCTTGGCTCCATGGGGCGTCATGGGACGGGGTGGCCGTGCCCAGCCCGGCCTCCCAGCAGACAGATGGGGCTGGACGGACAGACAGGGCCGGACAGACAGACAGCTTCCCTCGCACCCAGCCATGCGACCACCACGAAGCATCGCCCGCAGCCGGCGTGCCACAAGGCACTGGAGAACACGCTCCGGGTTGCCCAGGTGTCTCGTTCTGAACTTCCAGCGGAACAAAAAACGAAAATTCAAACACTCCTACAATAACAACCAGCGCTCCTACGTAAGGAATAATTCGTTATGACTTTTAAAGGGGAAGGCTCTTTCGCTGCGAGGGCTGCGGAGCAGAGGGAGCGTGCCCGCAGCCCGGCGGCCGGCCCGCCTGCGTGGATGCTGAAAGCAAAACCCCTGCCCCGCTCCCCGCTAATGACTAACAGGTGTGCTCCGCGAAGGCTTCCAAAAATAAAAGCTCCTTTCTAAAAATACAGCCCAGCATTTACAATGCCAGATTTCCCAGAAAAACACCGACAATGCCTGACGTTTCGCAAACCGCTGCTCTCCGAGCGACTTCAGGCTGCCCCCGCAGCACAAAGTTTTGCGAGGCGAAGGGCACAAATCCTGCTTCCAGATTCGAGCCCCGCGGACAAACCCATTCCCTCGGCCAGCTCTGAAGCCTGCGAACGGACCAGCCTCGTAGCTGCAGATTACAGAGCACATCGCCACAAATAATTTCCTTTCTTTTTTTTTTTTTTTTTTTTTTTTTTTTTACTACAGGATGCGTAATTGAAATGTCTGCGACTCAACAATCACCTTTGAATTCATAAATACCTCATAGTATTCCGAACACACTCTCCTATAATGAGACCGTCTTCAATTTTCCTTGGTAAAGAGACCTTTAAAGAATGCTAAAGCAGGTCGGCGCCCTTATGCACTGATGAAAACAGGAACAAAAGCATTTTGTCACCAGGCATCTCGTCTATCATTATTTCATTCACTCGGCTTAAACAAACTAAAAAGTAGGTGCCTTTTCCTCCTCGATGTCGGCGCTAAGTGGGCTTTGAGCCCCGTCGGTGAGCCACCATCTGTAGGAAAACAACAGTTCGCTGCACCTCGCCGTCCCCGGCTGGCGTTTTCCCTGTTTTCGGGGACGGTTTTGAAAACACGGGATTAAAATGTCATGCCAGCCCTCGTGCTCCAGCGGGCTGGGGGTGTTTCTGTCCTCTGCTCACGGCCGACTTAATCAAGTGTGAATGATGAAAGTGCTTCAATTAGGGCTCCGGCCGTTCCGGGCGGCCGCTTTGCGGGAGCCCCCCAAAAGCTGCCGGGACCCCGCACCCATGGGTGCCCCCCTGCGCTCCCCATCGGCCCGACCGCTCCGGGACCCCCCCGTAAGGATGGAGGGGGTCACAAAGGCACCCCCCACTCTCCATCTCCCCCCCCGTTTCGCAGCTCCCCGGCCCCACGGGGCGCCACGCGTGGGGGTGCGCTGCCCACGGGGGGGGCCCCGCTCGGCGCGTCCCAGCGGGGGCACCACGGAGCGGGGCCGGGCAGGGAGGAGCGAGGCGAGGCGCGGCCCCTGCGCTTCCCGCGGGGCCGAGGGAAATAAATTTTTAAAAAATATATGATAATAATAAAAATTAAAATATTAAAAAAAAAATAAAATAAGCGATGCCAATGATTGGAACGGAATAAAGAGCTAAAGCGCACACGCCGCGAGGTCGGGTAAAATAATAAAATACCAAAGAGCAGAGCGGCGGAGGCTAAGGAAATAAAGCCCGAGAGATGACAGGAGGGCAGAATAAAAAGGGAAAGTCGGCCCCGGGCTCCCCCCGCTCCCCGCGCCCAAACTTTGCGGGGCCGCCCGGCCGCGGGGAACAATGCGGGCCGGCAAAACAAAGCCGCCCCCGGCCCCTCGCCGCCCAAATTGCGGGGCCGCCCCCCGCCGGGGTCCGGGGGTGGCGCAGGGCCACCGGGCCGGGGGCGACGGTGCCGGAGGAAGGGGGACCGCGGAGAAAACCTCCGGGACCCCCCCGGGCTCTCCGGGGAGCGCGGAGGGAGATAGAGGGGAGGATGCCCCCCCCCTCTAAAGGGCCGCCCTTACCTGCTGCTGGCCGCCCGGCACGGCTCGGCTCGGCCCGGCCGGCCTCCCCGCACCGCTTCAGCGCCGCATCCCTGCCTGCCACCGCCGGGCTGTGCCTGCCGGAGATCCACCTTCCAGTGCCAGCACAAAAACTTCAGCCTCCCCCCGCTCCGTGCCGTGCCGCTCCGTGCCGAGCCGAGCCGTGCCCGTGCCGAGCCGCTCCTGCTCCGCCCGCCGCCGCCGCGCCGGGAGCGGACGGGGGCAGCGGAGCCCCGCCGCGGCGCCCAGCAGCAGCGGGGAGGATGCTAATTGCAACTCGGGGGGAGGGTCGGAGGCGCTGTGTGTGTGTGTGTTTTTTTTTTTTTCCTCTCTTTTTTTTTTTTTTTCCTCTCTTTTTTTTTTTTTTTTCCTCTCTTTTTTTTTTTTTCTTCCTTTTTTTTTTTTTTTTTTGAAGCGAGAAAGTGCCCGGGCGGCGCTGGGCGGAGCGCTCCCCCTCGCCGCGCCGGCTGAGCGCAGCAGAGGTAGGGGCTCTCGCTGCTTTTTTTTTTTTTTTTTTTTCTTTATTTTTTCTTTTTTTCTTTTTTTTTTTTTTTTTGGGCAATAGGCGGGGTCTCTCCTCGCAAACCAATGACACAAACCCACATGGACCGGCCTCGCCCCCTATAGATACTCTTCACTACAAATAGGCTCTCCCGGGGGATTAGCGGAGCAGCCAAAGTACAAACAGCCGGGGCTGGCGAGGGGGGGGCCACCAGGAGGCTCCGGGGGTGGGGGGGGTGAAAAAAACACAGGCACAGCCGGGCACACACCGCCCCCGCAGGGCTCAGCACCCTCGGAGGCGCTGCACGGAGCCTGTTGCTCCCGGCGGCCGCCGCCTTTGTTCGGCTCCGCACCCCCCACCCCGAGCTCTGCGCCCCCTCCCCAGGGCTCTGCGCCCCCCCCCAGGCTCTGCTCGCCCGCAGGATCCGGCCCCGGCAGCGTCCAGCTCCCTTTGTACCGCGGGGGCGGTTATCGCAGCGCTCCCGGCCTGAAAACGCTGCTGAGGCCGGGGGATAAAAGGGGCACCGGGGCGCTGAGCCCCTCGCTGCCGGCATCCTAAAAGCGGAGGGGCTGCCCCGCGCTCCCCCGCCGAGCTCCCGGTTTTGATAGGACCATCAGATAATCGCACCGTGGCGCTGGGCTGAATGCGAGATAACAAGAGCGCGCTCCGACGTGCATTTATTTGGATTTGTCTGCCGCCTTACCCCCCGAGATTGGGGAATTAATGTTTTGACAGACATTCTTCGTCTGCTTATCACGAGAATGCGGGCAGGTGGTGATCCGATCTTTTTGTTGTATAATCATCATCGAGCCTTCTGCATTATAGATGTTCCATGCTTCTCAATCAGCCTGTGGAAAAAAAAAAAAAAAAAAAAAAAAAAAAAGCACATTCCTTTTCGAGTCAAATAAAAACCCTCGAACCAGATCAATTGTCCATCAAAATTAATAAGCGAGCTTCAGTTTTTGTCTGCGAAATTACATGGTGAGGAGCCGACGGATCTCGATTCTCACAAGCCCGTTTGCCGTCCTTGCTGGCTGTTACACCACGTCCATCATTTGTCCCCCAGCACCTGCTGCCCAGCCGAAACCTCGCAGATCCCAGCTTGCAGGAGGTGCACAGCTGGGTGCTGAGCAGGGCCATGCTCTGGGGAAATGCACCCACCCTGTGCGGACACCACAGCAGGCACCCCGCAGATCGGGGACTGGTTTGAGCACAGCGTTCATCTAATTCTCCATCCTCTGTAAGATTTCTTACATTTCATGGGCAGCGCTGCTAATTCGCATCGTGCTCTGGCCTGGCACCTCCACACTGAGTTTTTGAAGCCCAGCCACCGCCTCTGCTTCTCCCAGTTCGGATCTGTTGGTTGAGACGCACCAAGGATGGCAGTGCAGGACTGAGAAGTAGGGATTGCTCCTAAGGAGTAACGTTGAGTTCATCATACAAACCCAGTGAGTGACCCGGAGCAATCAGGCTGTGGGTTGTAAAAAGGAAATCTCCAAACCAAACACATCTTCATGTTGAGTGGGGGGTCACCAGGCACATGGAGTTCAGACTATTTGGATGGTGACCGAGCATTCGTAATGTATGAAATAACCTTCCCGATCAGACACCAGGGAAGGACACGTGGTAGGTTCAGCAGGGGGCCTGAAGCAGCAGGCATCAAACTTCCCATCTCAGCTTTTAGCGCTTCCACTCAGCTGCTGCCCAGCCTCGAAGGTGCTTAAACCCCTCGAGCATCTCACTTGCCCCTGCAGAAGTCCAGCACCCGCTTAGAGTTCGTGCATCGGCCTCCACGTGTTCTGGTCAAATTTCTCCAAGTTATGCCTGAATTTGAGGCTTTTTCCAGACAAGTGTTGCCATTGCAAGGCCATCATCTACGAGGAGGATTCCCCTCTTGTGCTTGAAAAGACCGAAGCTCCTGTCCTTAGGGTGTTGGTGCAGACAACCCATGCAGCAGGAGAATTGTCCCGAACCGTTCTTTATCAGGGATGCTCACAAAGCACAGCAAAATCAACCTGTTTCCCCTTCTCTCTCTCTTCTATCTACTTCTAACCTATCGGTAGCCGTAATGTACTCACTATCTCACAAGCACACCCTCTCAGCATCATTTTTTGAAGCCAGATGAACTTTGACAGCACATTTTTTGCCAGTCCCTCGGGCAGAGGGAACTGTGTTTGGGGTGCCAGGATTGCGAAGCATCTGTCCCACACCTGTAAATCCCATGCCCTCCGTCTGTAATAATCTGATGAACTGTAATTATTTTGAGTAAGTGAATGCATGTTTCCCTTGCACATAACTTGCTTTCTCTCACCAATGTCTTCAGGAAAGCCGTGGTGTTCAAATATTGCTCCCTGACCCATATGCTGGCTCCCAGGCGGCGGGGCGCACGCCACGCGAGGCACTCCGTCAGCTGGGAGCACAATCACACTTTCCCTCTCCACTTTGCTGACACGTCAGCCTGAGTGCAGCACCTCCTGCCACGCTCGTGCTTCTCAAGACCTTGCAAATAAAATAAAAAATAAAATAAAATAAAATGACGATCTGGCTCTCTTAAAGAGGTAGCTTTGCAGATGCAAATGTGGGCCTCGGTCCTGCAAAGATGCTGCTCCTGCACAGGTTTTTTGGAGAGTGAGGAGTCAGATTGACTTCAGCTGGATGACTCTGTGCATAAATTTAAGCACACGCATCGCTCTCTGCAGATTTAGAGCGAGTATCTGTTGACTAGAATAGACGAGTTATTTTACTGCTCCGAGTGTTTGTGCGACTCGGTTACTCAGTGCTATGTGGGAACAGGCAGACACAAATCTCGCCTGGATCCTTCTGAGCCAGCGACCACGCTCGATCATTAGACAGGAAATGTGTATGTTGAGTAATGCCACGTATTCAGCGCCAATTTCAATAACCCCCCCTTATTTATTTATTTTTTTTTACATTTTTTAAAACATAGCCGCTTTTGAACAGATATGCTAGCTATTTTGCATTAGGTATGCATCAAAATAATCAGCTATGCGTAAGAAGGTGCTCGCTTTTCTTTTACAGATGGGCAGTAATAAAAAACAAATGTTTGTTTTCTACCAGTTCTGTTGATCTAGAAACTCAAGCCTATAGTTTGGGCTTAACTGTCTGTAATATAGGTAGAATAAACAGGAACGTGGACACACTCAGGGATTTTTCTTGAAGAATTTTGTGCACGTACATTCGGAGCCTTGAGAAATGAATTAGTTTATTTTACTGCATAATCCCCTTTTAATATTAGTACTCTAGTTTAACTTTAAAATGCATTGGGAGAAGCACGCCCTCCATTTCACTGCTGTAATTGATGTAAACCAAGGCTGAATTTGTTCCCAAACATATCTGGTAGACTCTTCCATAACTGAACATCTAGAAGATGGGTTGTTTTTCCCATAGTTTTGATCTCCTACCAGACAGGCGCTGGGATACCAGCCCCATTACTTCTGATTTAACCCAGTGTGAAGTCAAAAATCCAACATTTGGTATCAATCCTGTAAAAGCACCACTTGATGCAGTAAGTTCATTAAGAGGGTGGTTCGGATCACTTTTTGTATAATTTACCATAAATATGTCATCATCAGAAAGACAGCACTGGCAGAAGAAAATTGCTCCTGAAGGCAGCTATGGCGAGCTTTGAGCATGCAGCTCAGAAGGTGCAGGTTATTTGCGGTCAGTGCAGAGGCTCTTTCTCTATTTTTTTTTATTTTTTTTTTTAATTTTGAAACAAAACCAACCCTACTAAAACATAGCGGGTGCTCTGGAGCTGGGTCTGCTGTGAGTGCATCAAGAAGCGGTTGCCTCCTCCGGGCCCACGCGGCCGCTCCTTCTGCCAGCACCAGCATTTGTGCAGCTGCAAGGTGAAGTGGATCGGGGAATGGATCCAGCTGAACACTAATCCCAGGGGGAAAAAGAAAAAAAAGGAAAAAAAAAGCTTATTTTCCGCTGGATCTGTTCCCCAGCCTGGCCGTGCTGCATTCGGAGCAGAGGACACGTGCTTGTGCGCGTGGGCAGGATCAACAGGGGTCAGTGATGCCAGGGCTGGTTTTATGGCACCGTTGGCTTGCTCCACCTTCAAAGCGTCTGTCCGGCCTCGTGTTAATATATCACCATTTCAACGTGTGGTGCCACCGGGGTTACCATGCTGGATTTCACCCTCAGAACCACGGTGTTGCATTTTGCCGAGTCTGCTGGGGGTGCTCAAGGTTCCCCCATTAAACACCAGGCATGCTCCGAGCACATCCGTCCTCCTTCATGCTCTCCGTATTGTACTTCCCTCACATTAGCTTAAATATAGATTTTGACTTATTTTCACCAAGTTGCACAAATTTTGGGGCTGGCTGATATTCTTCATAATATGTTGGTGTTATCCCTTCTTGGCAAATTTATTCCCATTAAGAAAGAAAAGGAGTTACATGCTGAGAACTCTTGAATTGAATCAATGATTAGAAAGAGGGGATACGTATTACCTCTGCCCTACTACAGATGCTGAATTCAGCTTCGTAGGAAATTCTCAAATCCATTTCCCTTTGCAAACATGAGCAAAAGGATGCAAACATACAATAAAATTCTCTTTTGATAATGCGGGTGTTTTGTTTTGTTTTGTTTTGTTCTTCTCCCTGCATGTGTGTGAAATCATTATGCAGAACTGCTGGGGTATTTTTTTTTTTCCATTTTATTCGCTTTTTATTCTTAAGCAAGGAATTACAAGGCTGGAGAAAAGCCTTGCTGAACACGTGCACATTTGTATACCCCTTCTATAAAACATCTTAATGTCATCGCTGCGTGAGCAGAATTGTGCTGCTGATATAACA